TGCTGCCAACTGCTGGCGGATTTAGTTAAATTTTTAGCGTATAATTTCAGTTATTTAAATCATTTAATATTTATGTTTTCAAAATTGTATATTAAAAACATTAATCTTCACATGAATGTATGAATTTAATTGCACTCATGCCACCTCTGAGCCTCATTAAACGTCTGAAAATGTACCTACAAGCCACTTTTGTGTTCTTCTGTGCCACCTCTGTAGTACAAATTAATTTTTTATTAATACTAATTTCATATGATTGGTAACTTATTTGTCTTATTCTACTTATTATATTGTTTTAAATAGAAATTTGAAAAAGCTTATAAACATACATTTTTGAATTTGACAGATGAAAATGATGCCATTATAAAGGTAAAAAGAAAATACCCCTCTAAGTCACTTTAAGGAGTCAAATGTCACCTCGTATTAGGAAGGATAATTTTTTATCAGAATTTTTGATTATTGATCAGATGGTGCTCCTAATTTTTTTTTAATTAGGAGGACAAGCGCTCCTAATTACACGAAAAAACTGCTTTTAAACTGGGTGTGTGACGGGTATGGCTGTGGAATGGGGTTTGGCTGAGGAAAAATTCAGTCAAAATATATTTTTTTGCATTAACCCGTTACTGTCATCCGAGCAAAATAATGTTATGTACAGCTACACCGCCCTGCATTATACAGTATTTGCTCCGTGATATACTAGTGTCTTGCTAATTTTGTGAAATAGTGGCTGTTTTGCTGTAGCACGTCACAATTTCTGACAAAATATGTGCATTTTGTAGCATTTTTGCTTTTGACCACCATTTGTGCAGTGAAGAAGTCTTGTATTCTTCCTTAATCAGCAGAAAAGCTGCCACATACACATGATTCCTGTCTGAATCTGAGCACTATTTGTCCAATTCTCAGCCTATTTTCACATGCAAGACATTATTTTATGTCTAATCCTGATTTCAAGGTCAGAATTATGGCCAGTGACAGAAGAACATGCAAACATGAGCCTGATGTTTTCTGCTGCATCTGTGTTTTACTACATACAAACAGCCACAGAAAATGACAGGTTTTGTGGAGAAAAGTTCAATGATACACCGGTATATTATAGTTAACTGAAACTAAAACCATTAAAAAGAAAAAAGCTAATTGTGACTTGAAGGAAAATTAACATTAACTGAAATAAAATAATTTAAATGTATAAATATTTAAAATATTAATAAAAAATATAGTAAAAAAAACTGAATGTTTTTATTTATATATTTTGCATCATCAAATTAAGGAATAGTATACCTTTTTTGCAAATTAGCAGATTTTTTCAAGATGCCAGGCAGTAATAAATGAAGCATTATCATAGACCCTTCATGATGTGATGGTTTTTTCTCTTATATGTTGATCTGTTCATCTCAGGTCATGACGCGTGTGTTGAGCTGCTGTTAGAGCACGATGTGTTTCACAGGCCGGAGGGAAACTCCTTCAGTCCGCTGCACTGCGCCGTGTAAGAAACACCTGCTCATATCATGTGCATATTAATCTTCATATTAAATGTTTGTATTAAACCATGACACACTGGAGAAAAAAAAGGGTGTAGAAGCAATTTTCACTCAGAAATTGCTAGTAAATTTCACAATTAATTACAAAGAAACAGCAAGTAGCACTGAATTAAATGAAAGACCGAAATAGTATTTACTTGTAAAACATAATCCAGTAATCTTTATTTACGTACTGTGCATCTCTCTGGTCTCTCTGTTTCAGTATCAATGATAATGAGTCTGCGGCTGAGATGCTGATAGAGACTTTAGGTCCAGCGATTGTAAACGCCACAGACTCTCAGTCCAGGTGAGAACGGGGTTTCCTCATGGATCAGATGTTTCAGAGCAGCACTGCTGATGTGTTTTGTGTGTCCCGCAGGACTCCGCTTCACGCCGCGGCGTACACCGATCACGGGGAGTGTCTGCAGCTGCTGCTGGGTCACAACGCTCAGGTCAACGCCATCGACATGCTGGGAAAAACAGCGCTCATGATGGCTGCCGAGAATGGACAGACTAACGCCGTGGGTGAGGCATACAAAACACTAGCAGGGATCAGAACAACACGAGTAACAAATGCTTAAAAGTAACAAATAAAGTTCTATTTAAAATGCTGTCAAACGTTACAATGTAACAGAATTAGTTACTTTTATTTGAAGTAAAACTGCAATATAAAATGTTACTTTTGTAAATAACTTTTCTTAACATTGCAAAGCAGTATTTTTAACTAAGGTTTTATTTCCAGTTTTCATTTTAATTGTAGTTTTAGTTTTACTAATATTATATGCTTTTGTCATTTCCATTTAGCTTTAATTTTTTACTTTCAGTTTTAGTTTTAATAATTTAATGTGCATTGATCATTGTTATTAGTTTTTTTTTTTTAATCGGCTTTATTTTTATTTCAGTTCTAGTAATTTTATGTGCTTTTGTCATTTTTATTAGTTTAGATTTTTTTATATTTATCTTTATTTTTATTCCAGTTTTAGTTTTATTAATTTTGTCATTTTGTCTTTTTTATTAGTTTTGTTTTGTATATTTATGTTTAGCTTTAGTTTTAGTAATTTATGTGCTTTTGTCATTTCTATTATTTTTTCATTCCTATTTAGCTTTATTTTTTATGTCAATTTTAGTTATAGTATAGTACTTCAGCTTATTTTCAGTTAGTGGCCAATGCAAAATTTCTAAATTTTTAAGTTTTTTTTTTTTATCTAATATTTATGATTTAATTAATTTCAGTCATTTTTAATAGTTTTCATATTAATAAACAATATCAACACTGGTATTAATACAGACTTCTGGCGTGTTATTGCGTTGCTGTGGCTCAAGGTGGCACTAGAGTTTCCTTCAGATGTCTGTGTCATTACAGCAGATGTGTTGTTATTCAGGAAGCTGCTGTGATCATGTTAATCATGATATTAATGTGAGGTACTGATTGTGTTTGTCAGAGGTGCTGGTGAGCGGCGCTAAAGCTGATATGACGTTACAGGACGCTCACAGAAACACAGCCCTGCATCTGGCCTGCAGTAAGGTACCAAACACACGCTCACGTACTGATTTACATCAATCACTACCTCTACTGTACATCAGTGCAGCCCTGCAGCCAGACAAACTACAGGAAGTCAGAAACAAGCATGTAAAGAGAGCTGCTTAAGCATAAAACCAATTCCTCCTGCTGCTCGGTGGATAAAAGATCCTCAGTTTCAGTGACAAACCTGTAGTCCAAAGCTTTCAGAGCCAAATATAAATACATATTTTCATATATTTTATATATTTGCATGTATTCATATAGTATATGAATCTCAGTATCTCTTTTACAGTCTTGTGTGCACAGGTATTTCCATCAGGTAATGCAAATCTAGTAATTTTCATAGTTTGTGTGTTGCAGGGACATGAAACCAGTGCCTTGTTAATTCTTGAGAAGGTGACGGACAGAAACCTCATAAACTGCACAAATGCCGCGCTGCAGACGTGAGTCCTGTATCCAGTATCTTGCTCATTTGTTGTCCTCCTCTTTATCTCAGTTTTATAGATTATAGAGAGCTGTTTTTATCTTTGTCTCAGGCCGCTGCACGTCGCTGCTCGTCACGGACTGACTGTGCTCGTACAGGAGCTGCTGGGTAAAGGAGCCAGTGTCCTCGCCGTGGATGAGAACGGTGAGCGTTTAAAAGCACAGCCTGTAGCATAAACAGCTGGTTTTGCTTCAAAGCAGAAATATTATATTATAGCTAACCAAAGCTAAAACTAAAACCATGAAAAAAAATCGTGACTTAAAATAAATGTTAACTCAAATCAAATATAAAAAACTTATTTCTCAAAATGATTTTTTCTTTTCAATTTCATTTTACTTTTTACTAATATAACAACTGAAATAAAAAATAAAAAAGACAGAAATAAAAGAACTAATAAAAAATGACAAACACAAAATTACAAAAATTTTAAAATTAAAATGAAAAAGGAAAACAAAAATAAAACCAAATTCAAAATATTAATAGAAAGTATAATACCATCTCTATTATACAAAAATAACACAGCAAAATACAAAACTAAAATAAAAAAACAATGAAGCTTTTAAATTGAAATCTATATTGAAGAAACATCACCCACTATTATTATTATTAATCATAATATTATTATTTCTTTTAAAATAAATACTTAGCAAGGATGCATTCAATTGATTAAAAGAGACCGTAAAGCTTTGCCACCACATGAATACATTTTAAAATATATTTAAGTACTGTAGAAAACTTATTTTGAATTGTAATAATATTTCACAATATCCTTGTAGGCACTAACTCTATTCTCTCTAGGTCCTGTAGTTTTTCTTTATCCATTGATGGTTCCTCCGTTTCTCCTTCTTGCCAGGTTAAGAACTTGGGCGTCATCTTTGACAGCACTCTTTTATTTGAAGTTGTTACTTTCATCTCCGTTATATTGCTCGCCTTCGTTCATCTCTCACCCCACACAGTACTGCCATTCTAGTTCACTCACTTGTCACCTCTCGCATCGACTACTGTAATTCTCTTTTATTTGGTTTACCACACAAGCTTCTCCATAAACTCCAGTTGATTCAGAATTCAGCTGCTCGTATCATAACCCGGACTCCATCTATACAACACATTACTCCATCTCTTAAACAGCTTCATTGGCTTCCCATCAAATTTCGCATTGAATTTAAAATTCTTCTTCTCACGTATAAAACTCTCCATAACCTCGCTCCAACTTACCTCTCAGATCTTATTCAGCCCTACACCCCTTCTCGAACCCTTCGTTCTTCCTCACTGGGTCTTCTCCATACACCCACGGCTCGTTTAACCACCATGGGTCATAGAGCCTTTAGCCGTGCTGCTCCTCGCCTTTGGAATTCTCTCCCAGCTAACATCCGCAACTTAGATTCATTATCCCAATTCAAAGCTAAACTCAAAACTCACTTATTCAGAATAGCTTATCCTACATGATTACGGTCTACACTCAAATCTTTAACTGCTCCTTTTCTTTTTATGGTTCATTGATATTGCTATTTATTGTTATTTATTGCTGTTTTATTTATTGTTCATGATGTATGGTGACCTTGAGTGATTTGAAAGGCGCCTTAAAATGTATTATTATTATTATTATTAATATTACTGTATTTTTGATCAAATAAATGCAGCCTTGATGAACAGAAGAGACTTTTTTCAAAAGCAATTAAAAATGTTTCTTGATTTTCGTTTCACATGCCTAAACATTTATTAATTTAATAACTTAATTAGTCAAATCATTTTATTTATAATAATTTAATGTTTCCAGGTTACACTCCAGCTTTGGTTTGTTAAATACATGCACGTACTGTTCCTAATTTTTATTTAGTAATATACAGTATCTCACAGAAGTGAGTACACCCCTCACATTTTTGTAAATATTTTATTATATCTTTTCATGTGACAACACTGAAGAAATGACACTTTGCTACAATGTAAAGTAGTGAGTGTACAGCTTGTATAACAGTGTAAATTTGCTGTCTCCTCAAAATAACTCAACACACAGCCATTAATGTCTAAACCGCTGACCACAAAAGTGAGTACACCCCTAAGTGAAAATGTCCAAATTGGGCCCAGTTAGCCATTTTCTCTCCCCAGTGAGACCTTAATGGCTGTGTGTTGAGTTAGTTTGAGGGTACAGCAAATTTACACTGTTAGACAAGCTGTACACTCACTGCTTTACATTGTAGCAAAGTGTAATTTCTTCAGTGTTGTCACATGAAAAGATATAATAAAATATTTACAAAAATGTGAGGGGTGTACTCACTTATGTGAGATACTGTATTTGTTATATTTATTTTCATGTATCTTTTTACCACATTTAACATTCTACTGTATACCTGTTTGACCAAATGTTAGACTAGCTTTGACTGTTTCTTTAGATATTTGTCAGTCTACATATAAGCGTTTTTTGTTTATTAATGTTATTTGCATGTCAGTGAAGCAGTGACTCAGCTGATTTGTAAGTCGCTTTGGATAAAAGTGTCTGCTAAATGAATAAATGTAAATGCAACACAAACACTGAATGGTTTACAAATGAAACAAAGAACATGAATGAACATGATTTAGTTTTGCGTGCCTGAACATTGAATTTAATCAAATGTGTTTTCCAGGTTACACTCCAGCTTTGGCTTGTGCCCCAAACAAAGACGTGGCCGACTGTTTGGCTCTGATCCTCTCCTCCATGATGCCCATCTCTCCCAGCAGCACCGGCACCATGTCCAGCCTCACCTTTACCACCATCAACCACTACTCCAGCCCATCCAAGACCGTGACCTTTGACCCTTTACCTGTGCTGCGCTCCAAGCACGTCTCCTACCGCAAATTCAACAGCCTGGGCCGCGAGGACGGCCTCATCGTCCCCAATGACGAACTCAACGATTCAGACTCAGAAACGTACTGAAAACACACCCCCTCCCGCCCCTCAGTGTCTTAATCTAACACCTCATTGGCTGAAAGGTGACTATATGCTAATTAGGGTCGTCCCTTTATGACCGGTGTGGCCGAAGTCTCAGGAGAAAGTGGAAAAACAGGAAAATAATGCCACAGAAATGGCCCACATTACAGTCCAGTTTGTTTATTCTCTACAGTATCGAGCTGTTTGAACCCTCAAGCATCACTAAAACATTATTTTAAAGCCAAGTTCATTTTATGAGAAGCAAACGGCTCATATTGACAGCTGTGGGACTGTAATTCCCAGCATTTATGTGAAACACGAGGAGGCGAAACTAAACTAAAGACGTCAGGGACCAAGAGCTGCAGACTCTACTTTTATCCCCGTTTGTGCATGAAGATTGGATTTGGGTTTGCATCACCATGGATTATTTATTATGAAAAAATGAAGAGCAAAAAAAGCCTTTCAGGGTTCAAATGGAGTATTTATTCCTCTGCTGTTGTGAGGAATTATAGCGTTCTTCCTGCTGTGTGTGAGAGAGATTGTGAATTTGAATGTGTGTGTGTGTGTGTTTTTATAAGAGTTTAAAAACAATGAAAAGATCAGGTGTGTGACTTGACCTTTTGGTACATTGTTAGCAATTATTAATAATTATAAATAATAAATCATTTTTGCCATAAGATTCTATGGAGTCTTTATTTATTACAGAAAATTGGCACATATTAAAAAAATTTGAAAACATGGATGGCCGGAGTTTGGTTATTAATATGTTAAAAGAATATACAGTATAAGAACATAAATTAATGTGCCTACAAGAAAACATTTTTATTCATCCAATCCTAGTCTTTTAAATCCATTTACTGATTATTTTTTTATATTTGTATAAATTTATTGTTATACAGGGTTCGTACAAGGTGCTTAAAGTGCTTGAAGTACTTGAATTTGACTTTTTTAAATTTAAGTCCTGGAAAACCCTTGAAAACAGCCATATTTTTGAGAAGGTACTTGAATTTTTAAAGGGCAGTATGTATGAAATTTGTGGGGGGGGTTTTCCTTGATAAAATATTATTTTTACGCAAAATTAACAATGTTACAAACGTAATAATCCCTTTAATGTAGCTTGCGCCAACAGTTGTACACTGGAAGCAGTTCCGGGAGCATGACGTATGAGGTCAGCATTGTGCATGCGCCGGTGAGTCTCGTGAAAACAAACGTCTCCTCTTGGCTTATATCGAAATCCTCTGACATTCTTCTTTACAAATCCTCGTTTTGTACTTCTAATTAGTGGCTGTTGTTTTGTTTTGATCTCTCCGCTGCGCTTCCGCGTGCATCACTTCTGAGCGGCGCATGCGCAAAGCTGACCGCCATACGTCATCCGCACGGAGCTGCTTCCGTGTACAACAGTGAGCACAAGCTAGATTAAATTGATTATTACGTTTTAAATATGGTTATTTTTCTTACAAAAACCCATCGATTCGCTACAGGAGGCCTTTGTTCACCCTCTGGAGCCGTGTGAGACATTTTTTATTATGGATAGGAGCTTTTTATTTAACTGCTTTTGGACTGAAGCAATGCAACTCCCGCTGAGTGGCATTAAACCGCTTGAACGATCAAAGACCATTTTTAATATAACTCCGACTGGATTCGTCTGAAAGAAGAAAGTCATATACACCTAGGATGACTTGAGGGTGAGTAATTTATGGGATAATTTTTATTTTTGGGTGAACTAACCCTTTAAATTGGTTATGTTCATATTTTGTGTAGGCATATTACATTATGTAGGCCTATTTTATCAGTGTTGTTCAATAAAACCATGTAATTACTTGGTTTTGATACTTTATTTGAACCAATTATTATTGCCTCATCATTAGTTTATATATAAATAGTCATACTAAAGCCTGTTTTTCACTTAGGTCTATTTGTATTACTAAAAATACCAGATTACTCAATTGTCACAATAATCAGTAGATTACTTGATTACCAACATAATCATTAGTTACAGCCCTAGATTAGTTAAAATATTTCAAAATACAACTGCATTGTTTTGATTGGTGTAATTAAAAAATATTAAAAAATTTGTCATTTAAAAAAAAAATCTTAAAAATAGTATTAAAATATTGTCTCATTCTAGTGAACCAAGTATCTGTATATCTCGTGAGCTAAGTGTATTGTCACACACCCTAGTATTGATAAGCGGTGATAAAGCTCATAATTTCCTAAGTGTATGATATAGCTTTCATTCTTCAGGTCAATCATATACAGGTATTCATGAAAAAAAAATCAGTTTGAATAAGGAAAGCAATAACTTTGCCATAATATCCTTTCGAATGTTAAAGTTGACACAGTCATTGCATGCTTTTGTGCTGCACTTTATTTGTACCGTTTTGTTTTATTAGTTTATTAGAATTTTAAAGATAATAATGATATTGTTTGATAAGTGAGATCTCTGATTTTAGTCCTTGAAAACCAAAAAAGTAGTGCTTAAAGTCCTTGAAAGTCCTGGAATTTCATTTTGGAGTTTCTGTATGAACCCTGGTTATTTATTTTCTTTATTTTAAGTATCTTTTTATCCTATTTAACATTGTATTATCAATTATAATATTTATATATTTTTTTTGTCCATTTCAGATGACATCTTGCCCCATTTAACATTAAGTATTATCTATTTTAAATATATATTTGTTTTCTAAATTTTAGGTATCTTTTCACCCATCTATCGTTCCATATTATCTGTTTTAATATTTAAATGTGTTTTGTAAATACTGTAAATGCTTAAGATTTATTTTTGTATGTAAATGCCAGTCGAAAAATTAGTGTCTCTTTCGCTGTTATTAGCGAGTAATTTGAGCAAGTTTTCATTAAAAACACTGAAACGTTTACAAATTAAACAATGACCGTGAATGAGAGGTTTAAAACCGAACTCAATCTTATGACTGCTTTAAAAACTTAATTTTACCCCAAAATGAAAGTTGCGACATCATTTCCTCACCCTCATGTCATTCTTGTGCCAAAGAGGAAGATTTTTAGCTAATAATACCTTACATTTGAGTCTGTTTCTCACATAAAGCAATTGTTCGGCTTTTGTGAGGGGGTTTGGCGCCACGGCATCTTTGTTTCCAGGCGGAACGTTAAAGAACGTGACACACACGTCTCCCAGAAATACTGTATAATTCAACCAATCCGATGACGACTTCGAAACTCCTGAAGTGCTTCCACTTTTGTGTTCCATATGCATCAGACGGTCAGCCAGCAGTCCGTGGGCGTGACGTCTGAGGCTGAGACTAGATTGACAGTGGCGTTTCAGCACAGACTGGACTGGTGTTTTACCTTAGACCCGCCGACATCTGAGCTGCTGAAGACGCAGTGGATTATGTTTGTTTCTGGAAGGGAATGCTCCCCGATCTACATAAATGCGTCTATCTTCGCGCGAATCGTTCATGATCCAGCTTCATCTCCAGAAGTAGTGAGTATAAGGTTTCTTAATGAATCTTTGCAAATCGCCTTTCCTAATAATGTGCTAATTAGCAAGTTTCACGATGAATGTGGCTAAAGTAAACAGTCTCTCTGAGAGCAGCTCAGAAGAGAGGGGCGGGGTCAGCAGAGCTCATTAACATTTAAAGGAAAATGCTACAAAAACGGCTTGATCTGAAAAGAGCTGTTTTTGACAGGGTAAAAAGGGTGTTGTTTTACACTACCATTGAGAAATTTTATCCAAACTATGTTACAGACTTTTCATTAAGACCCTAAAGAATCATATCGATATCCCCAAAATGGGCATCCGATGACCCCTTTAATTACCTTTTATGTTCCCTCTTTCTCACGCTCTCTCAACCACACAAATACAGAAACATCACATGTAGAGAAACTTCTTGTCAGCGCTGACTTAAGTGATGAAATAGTTTTGCAGCTCAAAATCTGTGACATTTCTCTCTCTCTCTCTCTCTCTCTTATCAATTCAATGTGCTTTATTAGTTTGTTTTTGCCACTTCAGGACCATCTGAATCGGGACTTTTTTTCAGTGTTCATTTAAGGGCTTTAAAATGGTAAGAGTTGGGGGTCACTAGTTTTTTGGTGTTTCTAAAATTTAATGGCTCGTTTCTCAATGCACATTAGTAGAGGGTATTGGCCTAATTCTGCCCTGCATGCGTTGTTCGGTGTGTTCCTCTGTACTCTGAGGATACTCTTACAGAACTCAGCATGCAGGGCTTCAATCGGATTTTGTCCCATTTTTCAAATTCGTGGTTTAGGAGAGGACCCCACACTTCACTGCTGTATAATGCAATAGGTTCTATGACTGATCGGAATATTTTGAGCCAGATTCTGATTGGTATTTCAATTTGAATAGATTTTTTGATGGTGTAGAAGGCCCTTGTTGCTTTCTCTTTCAGTTCATTCACAGCCAAATTTAGCTTCCCATTTGCCTAAGCTATGTGTATTTTGTGGCATATTCAATTTTGGTCATACCAAGGGTGAAATTGTGTCTCTTTCCCTGACATCTGGGTCTTTTCTGGAAAGCTAGTATTTTAGTTTTGTTAGGATTAATAGTCATGGCCCAGGTCTGACAGAACTTGTGCAGGATGTCTAGGTTCTGCTATAGATCATCCGCAAACAGCAAGAACTTTATGTTGGAGTTCTGTAGTGTGAGGTCAGGTGCTGTTGATTGTTCCAGGAGTTTCGCCAATTCATGAATGTAGATATTGAAGAGGGTCGGTGAGAGTGGGCAGCCCTGCCTTACACCCCGCCCATTAGTAAAGAACTCCGTTTGTTTATTTCCAATTTCAATTGCGCATTGATTGTTTGGTGGTCTGAGAAAGTCAGCTGATCATCAATCATAACGCCAAGGTTTTGAATATTTCTCATGGGGATTGAATAAGTTTTGACTTTTCAGTCTGAGTTATATCTATTTTTTGGCTCATTTTACCTGTAAAAGAAACGTGCCTAATAATTATGCACACCTGAATATAGGGATTTTGTCACTTCCAGCCTTCATGGACAATTATATATCACTTATAAATGATTAAATACAAAATTAATAGTAGTTATTAAGATTGATGTGGTTAGGAACTGGTAAAATGTGCTTGGAAACAAAAATATGATCAGAACATCAACGTGCCTAATAATTATGCATGCATAATATATACACACACACACATACACTACAGGAAAAGATTGCATCTAGATCAGATACAGTCCTTGTGTACCTTGCAACTGGCCTGACCTCCATTGTATGTCTAGAAGCAGTTTAACCTGTTGCAGGACAGGTATTGGCCAATTCTTTCCTGGTTGCTGCATAATAGACAGTGCAGGGCGAGCACATTGCCATCACTAATGAAAGAAACTGTGGTTCATTGAGTTTCTTGGTGGAGAATCAGATGCAATATCCAAGAAGAACCTGCAAAAATAAAAACTAGACATTTTGAATCCCAAGGATCATGAAGATTTTGAGGAGCAGATGGGGTTGAGACATTGTTTTAGGCCACGTATGCTTCCATACCCCTAATACTTGGCCAAAGTTACTTTTAGCAAATGTACTCATTTAAAACTTAGTAAATTGATCAGAAACATTGACTACTCATCTTGCACTACAAATTTTGTCCAATCAAATACTTCCTGAAAATACCCTTGCATCTAACTGCTAAAAGTAGCAGATTATGG